CTGCTTTTGTCCACCTGCTTCTGTCTCCCTGCAAGACATGAGCTGTTCCCACCAATTGGAATCTAGATCTAGTGTGACATCCAACAATCCAATACTTTCCTTCAAGAAGGCAAAAGCCCCTTGGCCTCCTAGCCCTCTGACTTGAGGGTACCACGCCCTGTCCTATTGGAACAGGAGGTACCTATCTCCCCATCTCCTGAGATAGCTCAGATTCCTAAGCATTGCTTCATGTATACTGCCCAGAGCAACCCACATCCCTCAATCCGGGCTGCCATTAGGGCACGAAGTGGGGTATCTCTCTCTGACCTTCTTCATGCTCCCAAACTTGACACCTCATTCTGGGTCCCCAGGCCAATTAACCCCCCAATTTTCCATCTCCTCCATCTCTGCCCTTCTCCAAATGTGGTCAACCTACCTACCTTTTTTTTTTTTTGTTAGTTACCTTCGAGTTAATTCTGCCTCATTACAACCTATGTGTGTCAAAGTAGATCTGTGCTCATAGGATTTGCAATGACTGAGTTTTTCAGAAGTAGATTGCCAGGCCATTTTCCAAAGAGCCACTGAAAGGCCTGGAACTTCTAACCTTTCAAGGAGCAGCCTTGCACATTAACCATTTGTACCACTCAGGAACTCCCTTTCTGCATAGTCTGAATTTAGGGGACAGGTGACCTGGAAGATTCTGCCCTGTCCCCTTTGGGCCCAAAGCCTGGCACATGGGAGGTCCTTATCAGTCTTCACCAGGTGAGTGAATGGATAGTGAAAAGAACCTGAAGATGAGTGAAAATAAAAAGTATTTCTCATAAGGTAAGTGATGTCAGGATGGACCCTTACCCTCTGAGGTCCTCAGTTTCCTCATCTTAAATGGAGACAGTAACCCAACCCCACCTTCTCAGAGTGGTTGGGAGAAGGTAAGGATAGGTGAGAAAACTCCTCATAAACTGTAAAGTGCAGGACCTACATAGACTGTGGGCTTGTGTATCTGCTGGGGTAGCTGTCACTGTTGGGAATCCCCCTGTCTTGTCGAGTCCTCCTAAGAGCCTGGGTGGGAGAAGGCCCAGCTCAGACTTGGGCTGCCCTGTAGCCTCTACCACATGGACAGGAAGTTTCTGTCTCAGGTCTCTTCTCAGCCAGGGTCAGGATACCTGAGACACAAGAGGAATCAGCTGGGAGGGTGGTCTTTCCTGCTCCCCCTTCCCCATCAGTCTGGGCTGTGCTTCTGGGTCAAAGCTGTCAGAATCCTACAGACACAGGGAGATGTGATCCGTTTCCCTGCAAGAGGGCACAGATGCCTAAGATTCACTTGTTTTTGTCCATCTTCCCCGGTGGGTGGGCAGGCTGTGTCTTGCTCCTGGGAGCATTTTGGCCTCCCTGGGATGCTTCCAGCAACCTTGTGAAGGAGATAAACCAGGGTTCATTGTTATTACTGTATCCATCTCGCAGATAAGAGCACTGAGCTCATCCAAGAGGTTCAGCTACTCATGGTCACAGAACGGAATGGGCCAGAGCCAGGATGAGGACCTAGGCACTCAGGAAGTGCCCCCTCCCTCTAGTTGAGTGAATGTTTTCGCCTCTTGTTTGGAGGGTGACTCTGTCACCAATTCCCAGTCCTTTGTTCTCTCTGGCCCAAGGGCAAGCAGAGAATAGAACTCCTGCCCTCTCCTGGGGGCCAGAGAGTTCCCCAGAGAGGTGGCAAGGGCCAGAACCTGAGCCAGAGTACTAGGTGGCCCTGCAGGTCTGTAGTTGCAATCTGTCATTCTCTCCCTTTCTGGCCTTGGTGTTTGTTTGTTTGTTTTCTAGTTTCTTACTAAAGTTTCTTACATGAAACTTCAACCTTGTCTCAGATGAGTGGAGTGGACACTGAGGACAACTGGTGTGGCCGGCCATGAGTGGGATTCAATCAGCTGAGCCAGAAGGGGCCAAGACACTGCAACTGAGCTTGGGGACAAGGAGTCAGAAATAGCTGGGGGTCAGGCTCTTGCCCCTGCGCCAGCTGCCTTTAACTCTCCCAAGCCGCTCCCTATGCTGCCTGTAGTGATTTTCATTTGGGAAAGTCATAGACCGGTGAGGAGTTGAGGGATGGAGGAGGCGCAGTGTGGTTTTCTCAGACTTTGTGTGCACATGGATTCCTGG